ATTATTGGATTTCTTCACACTGTCTTGTATTTGTTTGGTACCAGGGATTGAACCCAGGGGGCACTTTAATCCCTGAGCTACATCCCAGACCTTTTTTATATTTTATTTAGAGGCAGGGTTTTGCTGAGTTGCTCAGGGTCTCATTAAATTGCGGAGGCTGGCGTTGAACGCCAAATCCTCCTGCCTCAGCCTCCCTAATTGCTGGGATTACAGGTGTGCCTCACCACGCCTGGCTCTTCACACTGTCTTTTAAATGATAATATATATATATCATATTATTCTATGGCTACTGTGATGAAGTAGCCAATATCCACACCATATGTTTTGATACAATGGGAATAATAATATCATCCTGTGTGAGGACTGGAGAAAACAGGCCAGCAGTGCACTTGAGGGGATTGTTGGCATGGTTAATGCCAGTTAAAGATTTCTATTGGCTTCTTGGATTCTGCTCAGTGTAGAGTACTGAGCTGGCTCTGCCCCAGGCATCTTAGCACAATTGTTTGTGCTTGTGCCTGTGCCTGTGCCGGTGCCTGAGCCTGCTTAGATATTACATTTGAATTTCCCTTTCCTGGTTTGGCACATTTCTGGGTCCTTGGGTTCCTTACCTTCCTTCCTCCCTGGCTCTGAGTTGGCTTTTCTGGACTCTGGCTACTGGTCTGGTCATTCTGGGGTTCACTCCTTCTCTACACACCCTTCGCTCCCAGGGCTCTTCCAGAGCTTTTCACTGTGGCATCTCTGCTCCTCCCTCTGCCACTTGAAATAGGGATCAATGGCTTCCTGCCTAAGCCTGCCTACTGGGTTTAAGCCTTTGGGTTTGATAGTTGAAAAGAAAAGGGAAAAAAAAAAGTGTTTAAAGCAACAAGTCAGGCCAAAACCTGAATTTTAAAAATTCATTTAGAAAAATGAATAATTTCTCAAAACCAACTACAGGCAGCCTGCAAAGCACAAAGCCTAATTGGAAGCCATTTTCCAAGAACTAATTTAGTCCTCAGTTAGAGGTGTCTGTTAATTCCACTTGAAAATCAATGGTGGTGCTTTAGCCAACTTTTATAGAATTCTATGTTCTATTAAACCTTATACAGAAAATGTTGAATTAGTAAATGTGGTTTATCAATACAATGCAGATTAGTGGGGGTGTTATCTTCTTAGCTAAGATACTAAATTTGCATTAGATTAAAAACTTTTAACTCATTAACTCAGGTTTCTAATATAATACATATCCTCATCCATTCCCTGTTTGGGTCTTATCATTTTATTTTTTACATAAAACAATGTTGCTCTTTACATAAAGCAATGTTGCTATTGCAGATGCAGTTTAAAAGAAGAAGAAAAAAGAAATTTCCTCTTTTTCTTTCCTTACAGAAAGAATAACAAAGTCTTTAGAGCCTGAGGTTTGAAGTCCGCTGCCTTGGGGAGACTGTGCAGCTATTTTATACTTCAAGGACTAGTGATCTAAATAATTCCTTCTCCACAGGCTTCTGTTTGGAAGTGCTCAGCACTTTGGGAGAAGGCAAACAAAGAGATGAGCATTGAATAGGGGAGAATGAGCGGGCAACGTGCTTTGACAATAAGGACCAAAAAGATAAATGGTGTTGCACTCCCAAGTCCTTGGGACTGGGAGACAGGGTGCTGTGGATAGTATACACCTGTAAAGCTATACACATCTTTACCTCCAAGAGGGCCAATAAGCTATACACTCCTTACCTCAATAAGGAGTGAGGCCTGTGTACCCAATGCCTTGGCTTCAAGAGCAGAAGTAAGTGTGTGCATGGTGGAGCCTGGTGTGAAACTGCAGGGCTGTCTCCACTCTCTCCTGATGTCAGAGCCCAGCAGACAGCTGGGTAGATCCAGCCATGCTTTATTATTATTATTATTTGTTCTGATTAGTTACATGTGACAGTAGAGTGCATTTTGACCCTTTGTACACAAATGGAGCATAACTTCTAATTCCTCTGGCTGCACAAGGTGCTGAGTCACTCCAGTAGTGTAATCATACATAGGCTAATAGTGTTGGTCTCATTCTACGGTCCATCCCATCTCCACTGCCCCAACCCCTCCCCTGACTCCCCTCTGCACAATCCAAAGCTCCTTCATTCTTCCCTACCCCCACCTCCACTGTGGATGGGCATCCACTTACCAGAGAACTCAGCATTTGTTTTTTAGGGGATTGGCTTATTTCACTTAGCATGATATTCTCTAGTTCCATCCATTTACCAGCAAATGCCATAATATCGTTCTTCTTTAAGGTGGAGTAATATTCCACTGTATACATGTATTACATTTTCTTTATCCATTCATCTGTTGAAGGGCATCTAGTTTGGTTCCATAGTTTAGTTATTGTGAATTGAGCTTCTATAAACATTGATGTGGCTGTGTCACTGTAGAATGCTGATTTTAAGTCCCTTGGGTACAAACCAAGGAGTGAGGTCAAATGGTGGTTTCATTCCAAGTTTTCTGAGGAATCTCCATACTGCTTTCCATATTGGTCTCACCAATTTGCAGTCCCACCAGCAGTGAATGAATGTACCCTTTTTCCCACATTGTCAACAACACTTATTAATGCTTGTATTCTTGACAATTGCCATTCTGACTGGGGTGAGATGAAATCTTAGAGTAGTTTTGATTTGCATTTCTCTAATTGCTGCAGATGATGAACATTTTTTCATGTGTTTATTGATTGATTGTATTTCTTCTTCTGTGAAGTATCTGTTCGGTTCCTTGGCCCATTAATTGATTACGTTATTTGTTTTTGGTTTGGAGGTGTTTTTTTGTTTGTTTTTGGTTTTTTGGTGTTAAGTTTTTGAGTTCTTTGGATGCTAATCTTAGAGTAACAAGCACCATCCTCTGGGAATCAGATTCCTCCAGGCCTTGCTGAAGGTAAGTTCTAGTATAATCTAATAGAGGTAGAAAAATACACAAATTAATATTTGATTTTGTATGCCTTACAAAATCTTGCTTAAAGACAGCTTTTGTTGGGGGGGGGGTGCAGATAAGACGTCTTTCATTCAAGTGGCCCCACACTTCACACTTATATAACAGAATTTATCTTTTGTTATGTTCGTAAATTACCACACCATCCTTTTAGGAAATCCACAAAATAGGAATAATTTAAAGAGAAGCATGTTGAGTTCTTTGCCTTTATTTCCCCAGAATTTCTAAGGCATTCAGTTCATGAGATGCTAGCCCACCAACGTAGTCTGTAATCCAACCCGGTGATGTGATGAACAGAGTTTTACTCGGCCTCCTTTATTTCCTCTGCTGATGGACAATGAAGCTTCATATTTCCAATCCTGACATTGTCTCTTTACTCTTTCTTATCCAATTACCCTATTCTTTTTCAGCATTTTTCTTTTACCCCAGCTTTAGTTTATATCTGAATTAAGACATAGGTCATTTCTTACTCTGTTAAAGCTTGCCTCAAAAGAAAAAAAAAACAGGAGAAAACTTTACCCTTTTTACACTTGGTCCTTGTTCTTTCAGTCCATTGACTTGTATAAAGGTTTTATGTTGAGCAATTATCCCGACAGATCATTTTATAGAACTTATGAGGGATCAAGGTACAGGTAAGTAGGCAAGTTTAACCGTGCCAAGTTCACCAGTAAGGTACCCAACTGGTGGGGGTTGTAAAAGTCAGTTTTATTGATTTCCTCTTCCAGTTTAAATGGAATGACAAACTTAGCCAAGACTACCCAGTGAGGTCCCCTGAGGGCATCGCACATCGGTGCATTTAGCAAACTCCTCACTTTTGGGAATCCGGTCCACACAGACTCAGAAACAAGATCAATCAGAACATTAAGCCTGGCTCCTGCATCATCTGTGGTGGAGCACACCTGTAATCCCAGCAGTCTGGGAGGCTGAGGCAGGAGAATCGCGAATTCAAAGCCAACTCCAGCAACTTAGCAAGGTCTTATGAAATTTAGTGAGACCCTGTCTCTAAGTAAAATATAAAAAGGAGGCTGGGGATATGACTCAGTGGTTAAGTGCCCCTGAGTTCAATCCATAGTACTGAGAACAAACAAACAAAGCTTATTTGTAATATAATACAAGAATGTTCAAAGGTAAAATGGTTCAATTGGGAGAGGTGTAACCTAATCAGTGGATAAATCCACTGGTAGATTAACTGGGAAGTAACTGTAAGGCAGGTGAGTTGTGATTGGAGGAAGCAGGTCACTGGAGATGTGACTTTGGTATATATATTTTGTCCCTATTGAGCAGAACTTTCTCTCTTTCTGCTCTCTGACTGCCATGTGTTGAGCTGCTTGCTTCCTCCATTTCCTTCCACCATGATGTTCTCTCCCTTACCTCAGTCTCAAAGCTATGGAATGTCGGGCTGACCATGGACTGAACCTCTGAAACCATAGCCCAAAATAAACTTTTCCTTGTTTACATTGTTCTAGTCAATTTTTTTCTTTCTTTTTTTCTTTTCTTTTCTTTTTTTTTTTTTTTTTTAGTCACAGAGATGCAAAACTAAGACACTCATGGTAGCTGAACCCTGCATGACTAATGTATCATAACCAAAATGGAAATTTAAGAGTTTACAATGAAGCATGGCACAAACAAGCAGAGCACCTCCTCCCATTCTTTCTTTTACTCCTCTATAGACAAAATCCATAAAAAGCCAAGTGATCATGTTACAGGTAAAGCTTCATCCCAGGGTTTCATAAACTGACTTCCAGACCACTCACGTTTAATCGAATCAAGCCTTTATTGAAGCACACCGGTGGCAGCTGACCAGAACATAAAGCTGCTCCCCCCCGATCAGCCCCAAACAATTGCAAGGGCGCTCCTTATAAGCCTGAAAACCGCAAAAGGGATGTTGGGGGGGGGGCGGGTGTCCAGCCAATGCAAGCAAGCCAGGTTACAGAAGCGGGACAGTGCAGTCAAGCGGAGGGAAGCCTAACCAATCACAGTTAGCCCAGTCACCCCAGTTACAGAAACAATACCCCATTAGGTAGTTCCGTGTTCTTAAAGGTTTCTATAGCAAAAGGAAAAGAACATCTTGCTCCAGTCATGACTCTTCTACTTGGCATGGTTGTTTTACAAGATGAAGTCATAAAATGGAGTCACATTTGCTCCTACTATCACAATCAGAAACGAAAGGGGCTCAGTGAGACAGAAGTCAAGTAAAGGAAGCAAGTTGAATGATGTTAAAGGGATCTGCCCTCAAACCATCCACTTCTACTAGAGAACACTTCGCCGTTGGACCAGGAATCCAGTTTGGTACCCAGAGCTGTGCCCAAAACCTTTGCTGGTGTTTCTTTAAAGTGACCTTCTTTTTCCTTCACTGGTAACTATCCAGCCCTCTTCTTATTTTTCCTAATTTTGATTTTTATATACTACTTGCAACATAATTAAGTTATTATTATGTTACAAAGTGACTTAAATTTTAGTTCAGACATATATTTGAAATCATTGTGAACATCTGACAAAGCATTTGAGTGCAACATGTATGAGAACATTCAAGAAACACAGGATACCTGTACCACAGTGGCACCTAGCATACTACAGCCGAGATGAGACAGAATTGACATTATAATTTCAATAGTTCCTGCCTATCATGTTCTTGGGGTACCATGTGCTTCTGGCCTTACCCTGCCATCCAGGAGTCCATGACTTTTGGTTTACTCCTTGTGTCCTTGATGATCCTTGCTTCCAATGGCATAACAAGCCTTTGTGTTGTTCACCTTCTTGATGACCCTGATTACTCTGAAATATCCATTTGGCTTCTGACCCTTTTCTATTTATTTTGAGCAACCACATTCTTGATGGATATCTTGCACCCTGAGCTTCCTTTCAATGTCACCTGCTGGCTGGATGCCAATGCTTTTATTCTGCTTTGCCTGCCCAAGGGAAAATTTTGCATAAACCTATTGATGTCAATATTTTTTATTGAGCATCTTTGTGTTTTATTGTTACGACTGTAGAAAAATTTACACTCATCCATATAATAAAATTTTTAATGACTAGACGCAGTTTCTTTTCATTCTAAATCCTTAACAATTTCTACTAAATTTTTTTCACATTCATTTCATAAATGATAATATAATAATATGATATTATGAAATATGACCTTTCCTTAAAACATGAGACATTTAATTTCTAATTTGTTAAAGCCTATTAGATATAATTGTTGGTGAAACACAAAAGGGACTTAGAATTACTGGACAAGGGCATACAATTATAGAACAATATGTCTTTGTTTCATTATTTTATCAAGAATAAGAGAAAAGAATAAAAGCAGAATCTATATCATCTCCTCTGAAAAACTCTAATTGTTGACCATGTATATTTGTGTGTTACACTTAAAATGATTAGCACTAAGTAACCAAATGTATCCATCATATTGTTTATATCCTTGAATAAACTGTACTTTTAAAAAGTATGTGAACCCATAATGATTTTATCATAAAATGACTCAAAATCCTGAAATTCTTAAGTGCAAGTAAGTACATTCCAATCCACTAATGTTGGTATCTGTAATGGGTCATTTGCTATTCTTCGTGATTCAAAGCTGAGTCCAGATTTAGGAGGAATTTGGAAAGAAAATTGCTCATTTAGTTAGAACCAACGCAGTAGCTTTAACCAGTTTCTTTCTAAAATTGTTGTTTATAAGATTTGAAGTTTTGAAGAGCAGACCTATTTCTCCAGGTCCAGCTTTTTGAGGAGGAGGAGGAGGAGAACAGACAACAACTTTATCATTAGTGATGGTTTGCTACTTATATACCTGATTCAGATTTTTTTTTTTTGCATTGCCCTACAGATCCATGCTCTATTCCCTTCCCCCTTTCCTCTTCCACCTTTCCTCTTCCTTCCCACCTCCTTCACCTCCTCCTCCTCCTCCTCCTTCTTCCATGTACTGAAGATTCAATCCAGAGGTCTAAAGCTCTAATCCAGGGGTCTACCACTGAATTCCATCCCCCCCCCGTTCTTTTTTATTTCTTTATTTTGAAACAGGGTCTTGCTAAGCTATTGAGGGTCTCACTGAGTTGCTGAGGCTGGTTTTGAACTTTGGATCTTCCTGACTCAGCCTCCTGAGTCTCTGGGATTAAAGCCTGTGACACTGTGCTGGCTCCGGCCCCTTTTTCATGGGCCATGCACCACAGGAAGTTGGACTGGGAATAAAGGACACCGGTAGGCCCCACCTCCCCTGGCTTCTTGCTGGGTAAGGCCAGTGGGAAGCAAACCCAGAAATCAAAGGGAAGGAGGAGGGTGGAGTTCTGGTTGTTACTCCCAGCTGCCTCCTTGTAGGGTCACCACAGACAATGGCCTTCCCCCTCTCTATCTCCATGACCAGGACCAGCTCCGTTTCTCTCCAGGCCTGGGGTGGTGAAAGCTTAGGATGGCGTTAGTTCCAGAATACTTCTGGAGTATTGATTGACTTCTCCCCGATGATGTCTTTGTATATACAGATGCTCCCTGACTTACGATGGTCTTTCATGTGGAAAACCCATCTTAAGTAGAAAAATTTGTAATTTGAAAATGTATTTAATACACCTACCCTGCTAAAAATCACAGCTTGGAACACAGCCCTCTGCAGAGTACCATCATTTTCTTTAAGTCTGTGGCTGTCTGGGATTTGTCTCTGCTTAGCATCCTGAGAAAGATCAGACTGTATTGGGCTGACCTGGGAAAAGATCCATATTCCAAATTTGGAGTGGTCTCTACTGAATGCATAGTGCTTTTGCAACGCTATGGAGTCCATTAATCATAGGTTGAGCCAGCATGAAGTTGGGACCATTTGTATTTCTTTTATCTTTCTTCAAATTACCCAAATGGAGTGTCCCATCCTTTTCCTTCTGAGACTCTGTTACAAGTCTTATCTTCATTGTCACACAAACTTTCTCTCCATCATTCCCTTCCAAGGTAATAAGATTCAGATGCCATTATCAGACCATATTGAAACTCTGGTTGCTCTAATAATAAGGTAACGGCTCATTTTTTAAGGTGTAGAAATTTGGAGAGAAATTCCAGCTGCTAAAAGACAATCAATCAACTTCTTCATCCAAACTGTAATTAAACCTTGAATAATTCTCTTTGACATATATAATCACACCTTTCTAACAGACGAGTCAGATTAAGTGTTTTAGACCTAATATCCTAACTAGAAGTAAAGAAGGGTTCTAAATTAATGCTCGGAGCCTTAAAAATAGACAGGGAGAAGAGCCTGATTTTCTTTCTGTTGTCAATGTTTTGCATTACTACTCCTAATAATAATATTGATAATAATAATGAATAACAATTGTTGAATGCTTAGTTTATGTTGGGTCTGGTTCAGGTGCTTTGCATGTATCATGAAACACCCCCAACAAATCTGTGATGTAAAAGCTGGTTTTATCCTCCTTTTACACATGAAGAAATAAAATATGAAAGATTAAATAACTTTGTTCATAACAGAGCTCTTTATACTGCTGTTTTCAGGGTTTTAGAATATACTAAATGGTATATCCTGCCTAGAAAAAAATCATATGTACTGATACTTTAATTAAAAACATTTTATTACTACTTTCATATGGTCAGCTGACTTCCAAGTCCTAGGTGATATTAACAATGAGTTTTGCAAATTTTAATTTGAAAGAATGTTCTAAATCATGAATTTGTTATTCTGAGAGCTTTGCCAAAAATGCTCACATTTCTGAACCTTTCTTTCAAGAAATATGTCCTTGTGTGTTTGTGTGTCACAGCCACTGTGGTACAATGGGAAAAGCATTGTTTCAACATTGTGTTCTTCAACATCATTCCAAAACTAAACCAAGTGAAATATTAACGTCATCTTCATCGACATGAAAAAAATCTTTCTTGAAATAAACTTTGACAACCAACGTACAAATTTGTTCAACAGTGGTAGCTTGTAAACCTTTTTAACTTCTTGTACATCTTGTAAGCAGGCAAAAGGAATATATAAGGTTTTGAATTTCTAGAAAGCTGACCTGTGAATAAATGTCTCTTTCCATGGCTTCTGTATTTAACCTAGTCTGTTGTGTTTCAGCCAGAGGTCCAAGGAGAAGTTCTGTGCAACTACAGAAATGCAACTAGCCTGCCTCTGTGAACCATTCAAGGTAAAGTATGAGCAAAAGATTCAGCTTGAAAGCCACATCACTGTCAACAGCTCAGCACACTATTGCTGAGGTTACAGCTGTCCAGTCAGATCTCATGTCTTCATGTAGTGGCTGTCACTTAAACAAAACCTTCCTGCTAAAAAGTTTATCCCACTAAAAAACAAACAAATAAATAAATAAATAAAGTAAAAAGAAATTAACTTTATATTCTAAATTGTTAGTTAAGTCTCTAATAGTTTTTAAATCTCTGGCATGTTATCAAAGTGTTAAATTATAGAATAATAGCAATAAATGATGTTTCCATCCCTTTGCTTTGGTCATGGTATAACTTTCAAGATACTCTTTTATACAGAGGCATTTTAATGACTATAGATGCAAAAATGTAATGTGTCCAAAGGGAACAAAGGTAGAGTATTAGAATGAATCCTAAGGATTATTTATTTTAGAGGTTCTGAGTATATAAACTCATTTATTCTAATAATGCCATTGCATGGAGAAAAAAAATGTTATTTTTAAAAAATTTCCTTCAAAACTCACCAATGCTCTCACTAGAGCCAGGACTGCCAACTTCCTCAAGGTCATGCAAAGACCCTGAGACAAATCTAGGGAGCCACAGCCCTCAATCCCAGTTCCCAGTTAATCTCTCATTTTGACAATAACATCAAAACTGCGTTGGAGTAAGATGATTCCGAATTACTGAACCCATCACCTGCCCTTTACCATGTATTCTTAAAACCTTGCAAACTGTCACTGAATGGGTACTGGGCAAATCTTTGTTGAATGTCTGATTAGTTCATTAATCTCTGGATCACTAATCTCTTTTCTGTGCTTTTGTTTTATACCTGGTAGGCTCTTCACATTTGTATCCAAATAGAAGGATAAACAGTAGGTGTTCCATCCATTTTTGCAATGAAAGAATGAATGCTTGGAACAACTTAATGAAATGCAACTGTAAAAAACAACCAGGGGGCTAGGGTTGTGGCTCAAGCGGTAGCATGCTCACCTGGCATGCTCGGGGCGCTGGGTTCGATCCTCAGCACCACATAAAAATAAAATAAAGATGTTGTGTCCACCGAAAACTAAAAAATAAATATTAAAAAAATTCTCTCTCTCTCTCTTAAAAATAAAAAGCAGGAAGTCACCAAGTGAATTCAGCATGAAGTTGTGCTCTACAGCAGGAAGAAAGGGAAAGGGAGTCTGCAGAGGACCTTTAACTGCTTATGTGAAATATTTTACACCTTTATGAAATTAGAGTTCAGAAACAACGTAGCAAATCTGCTAACTTTGATTGGCCGGGGGCTCTCTTGGTGTCTGTTGTATTGTTTTCAGAGACGTGAAGTGTTTCATGTTTTAAAATTTTAATAAAACAATCTTCCCAAATTTGAATTATGGGAAGATAATTTGTAAAGGAAAAGAATTCACAAACCTCCAAAATAGATTTGCAGAGCCAGTTTGGGCAAAGCTGAAATAGAACACTTACTGGAAGAAGAAAATTAAAAACAGAATTTGTTACTCTTCTGTATGTTCTGATGCTTTTCCTGTGTTGGGACTTCATGATAACATCAAGTGTGTCCACATTTCATATCTGTACTCATATACGGACTTAATTGCTCCCTTAGTAACCCTTACTCTGTTCCTGACTAACTCTTAGGCCTTCCGGTCCTTTTGAGGAGTCATAATTAATCTGAATGTATTCAATATCCTTAAATTTTTTTAATTTCTTAATTTTTTAATTTTACTTTTTTTGGTATTAGAGATTGAACCCAAGGCACTTAACACTGAACCACATCCCCAGCCCTTTTTTATATTTTTTTAGAGACAGGGGGCTCCCTGAGTTGCTTAGGGCCTCACTAAGTTGCTAAGGCTGGCTTTGAACTCACGATCTTCCAGCCTCGACCTCTTGAGCCATTGGAATTACAGGTGTGCACTACCACGCCTGGTCCTTAAATTTTTTTAAGATAGAAGAATATGTTTTGTAGGAACAATGAACCTAACCTTCTGTTCTAGTCTACATTTTAGTTGTGATATTTTGTACCTTTCAATAATCAGTCAAAATGAAAAGGAAGAGGAAAAAAAATACCAAAAAAAAAAGGGGGAGAAACAAGAACAGCAACAGCATGGGGGAGTGGAGGAGAAGGAGAATAAGATTAAAGACAAAAATGAAAGAGAAGAAAATAGGATGGAAAAGGAGAAAGAGAGAAGAAGAAAGAAGAGAAAAAGAGGGGTGGGGGAGAAAAGTAATACAGTGAGATAATTTTGGAGACCTGGATATTTCACTGTAGAAATGTTTTCTAGTATGCTTTGTGTATCAATTTTGTGCATACACGTATATAAACAACTACTTTAGATAATTGCATTTAGTTTTGAAGGCAAATTTTAAACATTTGCCCACTCATAATGAAATCAGAATTCATTCCATTCTTTCTTAACTGAGGGGAAGCGTACAAGTGCAGTAGCTATTTCCTTAATTCCAGCAGGATTAGGAAGTTAGCCAAATGAATGACTGCCAAGTTGCAAAACTGATATATTTGACACTTCAGGGTGCCTCGTTTATATAAGTCCCTTCCCAAACTTCAGCAGAGACCTCCGCATTCCATTTATGTATCCATGTTTATGTAAAATTTGTAAAAAGTACAAGATTTTAAAATTCATTTTGTTCAGAAAAGGAACCCCCAAATTTGTCAGCTTTAGGTCCCATAATACTTAGACATACCCTGAAGCAGTTTATCCAAGGTGACTGTCACATCTGCATTACAATCTTTAAAGAAGAAAACTGTGCAAAATTATTCTTCAAGTCCTTTATGGGAAGTCCTGCCTGATTAAAAGGGGTGGTTGGAAAGTTAGATGAGCTCTCAGCCAGCTGCAGTGGTGGAGGCTGTTATCCCAGTGGCTCGGGAGGCTGAGGCAGGAGAATCACAAGTTCAAAGCCAGGCTTAGCAACTTAGTGAGGCCCTAAGCAATTTAGCAAGACCCTTTTTCAAAATGGAAATTATAAATTAATTAAAAGGGCTGGGGATATGTTTCCGTAGCTAAGCCCTTCGGGGTTCAATCTCTGGTACCAGAAAAGAAAAGAAAATGAAATTAATTCTCAAAGATGTTTCTAGCCCTTTGATAGTGACTTTTTCAAAGTCTTACAAACACACTATTTGCCATGAGAAGCTGTTTAAAATACAGATGTGCACTGCTTGATCCTGATGCTCCATCTCTCACTTAAAAAAAAAATAGATATAGAGATAGATCGTCAAGACAGTTTCATATTTTATCCTTTTCTGTAATAAATTGTGCAATGTTTATCTTTGACATTATACTCCAAAACCCCAACTAAGAAAGCCTCTGAGTCCCTAAGGCTGTATCAGGCACCACTGTATTATGCAAATGAAATATAATTTTTACCAGGACTATTATAATCCCAGGTACCCATGCACAATGAATGAATTACAATGAATAATGTAAAAGGTTGAATACTTTCATTTATTTGAATTATAAAAACAGTGTTATAAGCAAGTGAGCTTAATGTGCCCGCAACAGCCCTCAAACAATATTTTCATTGGGTATACCATAGTCTTAGAATAGTTCACATGACTTTGGCACTGCTTTCAAGATAAAGAAAGTAAAACCTAGAGGGCCAGTAAGTAGGGCTAAGATCACTATTTCTCTTTCTGATCCTGGGGCAGGCATCAGTAATCAATCATCAGGGTCCTTGATACATAAAATATAATCTAGTCAATAAACCAGGTCTAGACAAAGAACACATAATGGTCAGGAGATTACCAGGAGGTAGGGAAAGCAGTCCCCTCACCACCCCAGCCCATCCAAATCTGTCACTACTGCTTCTTATTTTGACACCCTTTTTCACATGACTTCATGCTCATAAATACTCTAAAGAAAAATAAGCCATTTATCCAGTTTATGAGTAAAACCACTCTCCTTTGGTCGTGACTCTTTGCGGTGGATGAGGACTGAGAATCCTGTCTTTGGACTTGGCTCTCTCCATGACCTCACATGGTTGGTGCAAATGTCTCCACTTGTTCCCCCGAGGCCTGGGGCTCCAGGCCGACTCTTGCTTTCTCTGGCCAGCGGCATCGCTTAAAGCCATCTGTCTAAACATGGGATCCCTTCGCCCTCATTCCCTCAGGGCTCATGTTCTGCACTCTCAACTGTCTGAAGCCCTGGGCTTGGCAAACACCAGCCAAACCACGCAAGGCTTTACCTGTACTCTCAACAGTGTTTCAGCATGGAAAATGAGACGTTTCCTAACAGATGATGCTTTCATCTTCTCCGGGGAGGCTTCTCTCTCATCACCTTGCACTCTCAAAGCAATAGGTGAAGAAGACAGAGAAAGAAATGTTATTTGGAAGGGAAGAACTAATTAAATAATAGTGATAAATGTGTAAGTCTTTTAGCTTAAAAAATGCATATGGTAAGCACTTGGTACTATAAAATGGTGGTTTTTTTTTTATAAAACTTCCCCAACCCTCCTGAGGCTTTCCACAGTACAGAGACAAGGTTTTCACCCTCAGTGGGCTAGCTGGGGACATGTTCTTGAATACTGTAAAATTGATTTTATAAAACCATCAAGAATTTGGAGAAATACATATTTTCCCCCCATTTAAGTGGATTGAAGCCTTACATGCAGAGCAGTGGTTCCCAACTCATTCACCTAACTAATTAACTGACTCGAAATAGGCAGTGAGTATCTGCAAGCCACTGCCCTCCCTTCCATTCCACCTGCCTCTGTGCTAATATTGTCCAGACCCTGGAAATGCCTACAAAGTGTTAGTTATTCCATTGAAGGAGGCCAGATGGGGGAAAGAGAAAAGAGTGTCTTCCAGACAAGATCCCTTTTCAAAAACCTTCGTGATTTCTTCTTCTCCCTTTAGTCATCAATATATTTATTCAATGTCCATTATCACACCCTCTCCTAAGGGCAGGTATAGCAATAAGTATCAATCACTAAATATTAAGTAACGACCTAAAAATTAGGTGAGGATGTTCTTCTTTCTGAGCACCTCATATAGCAGGTAAGTGCGTCATATTCATTCCTTGTTCAACCCTGTGATGTTCCTGGCCCCTCCCTCTCCCCCTCTGTTTGCTTTTGGCTGCCGTCAGGTGAGCAGGTCTCCTCTGCCACGGGCTTTTACCATGGTGAACTGCCTCAGTCGGGCCGAAGAACAACCAACCTAGGCAATCATGGACTGAAAACTCTGAAACCATGAACCAAGATAAAGCTTTCCTCCTTCAGGTTGGTTTTCTCAGGCATTTGTCCACAGCTATGTGAAACTGGCTAACACAGGAACCTTCTGTGCAAGAACTCCCGACCTTCACCTCACCCATACGATGACCAGCAGGTAGGAGACCCCAGCGTCAGAATCCAAGGCATTCGCTTTCTTTTCTTTTTTTTAAAAAACTTCAATAAACTTAATAAGTGTCTTTCTCAAGAGAAATGAATGTGTGGCATAGTCAATGAGTCCTTGCCTATTAGAAGGTCTTTTGTTGCTAATACAAGTTAAGTGGAACATTTGATTTATAAAGGAAAGCAACAAACAAGTTGATGAAATTTCCATAGCAAGCACTGCTGAATCTCTTTTGTTGTTGTCAAATATAATACCATAATTGAGGAGGCTTTGGATTATTTCAGACAAAAAAAAATATTCCTTCAGGAACTCACAGATACCCGTTCCATGATCTATTCCTGAACTGAAAGAATATACACATGTAGTATCTCCACTATGATGTGCGGACCCTAAGTAGTGAGTGCACCTTGCTCTGGGAAGTTACCAAAATCATAATAAAGAAATAATCTTAGCATGATCTAGACAACCAAAAATGTCTAGAGAAACAAAAATTCAGATTTGCCTGAGGTTTCATATTCCATATTAAATACTTTAAAGTCCTGGCCAACATCGAAGAAGTTTCCGAGAGAAGAACTGCCTTCTCATTTTAGAACAGCGCACAATTCCCAAAGCAACTACACCTGCCCTGGCTGTGCATGGTTGGTCTCGTACAACTTCAGACCAAATACTGCTTTGATTGCGCAGCTCCTGTGAGAAACGTAAAATCAATCAGGAGACTCATCTGGATGGGAAAGCGGCAGTGACTCAAACAGAAGTCCAGACTGAGCCACCCTGGCACTGTCACTTAGGCAGAGGCCACGGGGCAGAGGATCATAGGTGATCAACAATTGGCTACTTTACCAGGAAAGGCATACATTTCGAAAAGTCTTTGAATAGAGTAAGAAACTGAACATTAGCAATGAATTATTTGGGCATTCTTAGCCTGAAAATTCTGCAGAAAAGGTGTCATGCCAGTAGATCAGCAAAAAGTAATTTTACTATTATAGTTGAGTGTTAATGTTATAAAACTCCTCACTCTGAAAGGTCTTCCTGACCAACGTGTTTTCCTTCCAATATGTGGAGGAACGTGACCAGTCTGAGTGTCACTGAGGATAAAGTTGGGACCTGTCGGTTAATCACAGAACTGAAAACAGTTGGTACTTTGGGTCTGGCAATATTTATCTTCGCTTTAGGACTTGGAAAACAACGGAGCATATATCTGTCCAGAGGAGAACTGACAAGGACCACAAAATGCAGTCTCACTGGTGAAGCGTTTGTCAGCCCTAGACAAGTGGCAGAGCCAACCGATGCTTATGTCCCAACGGTGTGGTTTCCGTAAAGAGCCACGCCATAGTTAATTGGGTTCACCAAATTTCTCAGACAGTTGATTCAGCTGCAGTCATTTACTCACGGTCTTTCCCCACGGCATGGACCAGACTGTGGCTCTTTCTAAATGGCTAAAATGACCAGTGCCAACGCCCATCATTCAGATCACTCCTCAAGTGTAGAAACAGCCTGTGATCACAGGCTTAAATTATGGGTTGAATTGATTCCGTGTTTCTTTTTTTTTTCCAAAGTGGAAAAACTGAATAACCTGTGTTTGTTGTTTTGCTATTTTAGTCACAGCAGAATGTTTAACTAGTAAGTTGATTTCACAACTTTTGGACATGTTTATACAATAAAAGTATTTCTATAAAGACTGCGTTGTGTGTGTGTGTGTGTGTGTGTGTGTGTGTGTGTGTGTGTGCATGCACGCACGTGTGTTTGGGTTTCTGAGGATTGAACCCAGGGCCTCAAACATGCTAGGTGAGTTCTCTACCACGGATCTACATCCCCAACCCAGACAGTCTTTTTCTTAATGAAAGGTTTCCCTCATGGAATATGGATGATGGACACCTGGGACTTTCTCACACCTCTTCAGATGAGTTTATCATCTCAAATTCATCATCATATTAGATATGGTCTTTCTCAACTTTTCTGCTCAAACATCTCCAGGGCTAGGGCTGATCTCTGATGGGATGTCACTCTGAACACTCTAACTAAGCCATTTACGAGTCCATCTGCCAGACTCTCAGATCTCCATTAGTTGTATAGAAATGCACAGGTACACGCACAGGTATGATCTGCTATCTCCAGCCAAGCAATCTAAACCACAGATGGTGGAGGACAGCCTTCACACTTTCTCCTCCTCTAACAGCTCATCTACACTTTCACCTCATTTCAGCTTACAGTAGTGGAGATCAGATTTCTCAGTCTCTCCTTGGCTGTGTCAGTGAGCCTTACTATGACAACATGGCCATACATACAGCTTAGCCTCAGCATGTCTCACCGGGGGCAGTCTGTCATTTACTCCCAGGTCCACAGTCATGAGTAAGGATTAGGCTTGACATCTGCCTTGCACCTTTGGGAGTGTACCTGACATTAACATTACCTTAGACTATAAATGCATATTTAATCAAGAATAGAAAATTAAATGAAATTGAAGATGTTAAGAGGAATTCTGGTTGCTGCTGCCCTTTTATCATAATGGCCTAACTATCCCCAAAAAGAAATTACTATTCCCTCAAAAAGCTATGTGGGCATTGGGGGATATAGCTCGGTTGTAGAGTGCTTGCTTTGCATGCACAAGGCCCTGGGTTCAATCCCCAGCACCCCCTAAAAACAAAAAAAATCTATGTAGGCTATTTCCTAGGATGATAAGATTATCTGATGACATATTCCAGTGTCTCTGATTTTAAAAACAGTGGAAAAGATGTCACAGGACAGTATGTGAGTTACTGCTAACCAAGTGGTGTACGGAAAGAATCATAAGTCTTTAAAGAAAACAGAAAAGGAACAAACACGTCTTGATCTTTTCTTGGGAGTCTGGCACTAGGTTGGCCTAAATACACTGGCACTGTTTTATTTCTAATTTTCAAGACTGAATCCTGGGAATGATCCATCCATGGCTGGTCTTTTCCCTCATGCTTTCTATCCGATCCAACACTGTCACCGCCATCCATTTTCACTGCCACCATTCTCTCCATCATTTTCCCTCTGGACTACTTCCATGACCTCCTGCTCATTTTCACACTGCAACCCCCGTCTTCCCACTGTGCACGCTCCACTCGTAGCCAGAAGGAGTTTTGTGAAGTTTGCATCAGATCCCATGCCCTTCCTTCCTCCAGGTGCCCTGTCTCCACTCTCACTCCTGAAGGACACGTTACCTTACATCTTCCAGGTCTTAGCGTGAGTGTCAACACCTCCTGTCATTCTCTCTCCTGGAGCATTCTTTCTTACCTCTTTGTTGGCTTCGGTTTATTGAGTGCCTCCCTCAACAGACTGTGAGCCCCGCAAGGCAGGAAGCAGGCTTGTGTATTCACCAACGGATACAATAATCAAGCATGTCAATTGGTAAGGACTAAGTTCTTGATGAACATTTGTTGGATGAAAGAGGAAGAGCAACTTGAAATGATGGTAGAAAGGAACGGGGCCTTCAAAGGGTAAGGCATGTAATTCATGTTGGTCAGTGGACAAATATGAAGATGAAATAGCATAAAAGAAAAAACAGAAGAGGAAAAGTTCTGACTGTAGGAAAGTACCAAAAGCAAATACAACTGGGTGACCATACAGAAGATCTGGACATGGAGCCATCTGGGGTCATCTGGAAAAAGAGACCAGGTGTACTGGGCCTTGTTGTTGCCAAAGTATTCGCTCTCTGGGCTGTAATGCATGTATTCCATGGTTGACATCAACTTGGACCTCGAACAAATTAGAGTGACAGGTAGTCCCAGAGAAATGCCATGATCAGTTTTCAAAAGCATTGTGTCCCTATGTGCATTATTATGCACTTTGAGACATTTCACACCCAAAGGAGATATTCTATAAATTCAAAGGTGGTATTGTGACACCTCTCACAGGGCTATTCCATAGCAAATATAAAGAAAATCTGGAGGAAAAAAAATTGGGAAAGTTCTTATGAAGGTAAGAATGTACCCACAATCAAGAAATAAAATGAAGAGATAAGTTCCTGGCAATGGTGGTGGTATTGAGCGCAGCCGTTCACCAGAAGTAGGGGACCGGGAGTAAAAACCAGCTAAGGCTTTGAGAGGTAACTGAGAACCCATTCAATGCTCTACTTCTATAAATGACATGGAGTCCAAACACCAGAGCCATAAAATACCTGCCCTATTAAAAGTCTCCAGGGAGGAATAAATTATAGTGTTTAGGGTAAATCTGATCGTTGTCACGGGATCTCCAGCCTTATTTCCACGTGTTAATCCTAGAGTAAAAAGGCCAGGTGGACGAGACACAATCCTTGCATTCACCCGTGGTTCGATTCACAGCCAAGTTGTTGCTGATTTGATTAAACATTATCTCACACCCAAGACACTCAGTGCGGATGTTGGTCAGGAAAGTGAGACTGCGGTGACAGTATTGGGTTGAGCTTCACAGGCCAAGGGAAAAGCCCTTGACCCAGGAAAATAGCAGCTAACAATGAACTGGAGAGGAACAATCTTGGTCTTTATCCCCAAGGCATGAAAGGGCAGATACGGGAGAATAACGTTGGCGTAGTTCCCAAAGTGTTTATTAAGCTCCCAAAGAGAATAGTATTGGAATTTTAAGTACAGTATTGTATGAATTCTTCACCTGCAGGAAATTGTAGGGATATCCAGAAAACACTAAATTCTTTACCCCTTTTATCTAGCTGATTAGTGGTTCACCATTCCACTGTAGTGTGTTGTGACAGGGGTGTGCCAATGGTCAGAGTCCCAGAAGGTTCATGCCCCCACAGACCTGGAGGCTCTGATCTAGAGAGTTGCATGAAAGAGACACTCAAAAGCTGCCAGTCATTCAGGATTAGGTTTCAAAGTTTGAAAAATTGGGTGCTGTGGGCTTTCATGAGGTTTTGATAAGGGTGGTCAAGAGAGAAAAGAACGTGGAATCATGGGGGCAGAGAATGAGATGTTCTCAGACCAAATCAGCTACATCTCTGTCCCTGAAGTTTGGATTCAATATCAAATTTTATTAATATAATAAACATTAGCAAACATTAGATGTCTCAAGGCTGGCACATTACAGTAGATTAAGTTCTCTAAATTCTTTAATTCACCACAATAAATATAACCTAATATTACTTCCTTGCCTACCAAATATTGCTGGCAGAAGTCATTATTTCTCTTTCTATATGGCCAGGAGCACAGGACCAGTGTCCTGAGTGTCTTCCATTCCTACTCGGAATTTCACCTTAAGAGTATAGGTATGGTCTATACTTCCCATACCATTTTAGCAAGCTGGGCCCATATGCTTCTTGAAATTTTCTATAAACAAAAAGGACTACATACATGCAAAACTGAAGAAAAGTAGCACAGAGTATAATACAATGATTTCCAAGCTTAGCTGATAACAAATCCCTTGGGAAGATTCTAATGACAGATATCTTTAGTTTTTAACTTACAAAAGTTTAATCAAGTTGGTCTAAGATGGAGTCAAGAGGTTTGTATCCTCCAACTGTTCCCATAAAGAATTCTGATTACCAGCTGGAGTAGGGATCCACTTATTTAAGTTATCATTGCATTTCTACAATAATTACTATGTTTTCCTGTTTTATGTGTTTGGATTTTTTTTTTTGTACCAGGGTTTGAACCCAGGGATGCTTAACCACTGAGCCACATCCCCACATCCCCAGCCCATTTTTTTTTATATATTTTATTTAGAGACATGGTCTCGCTGCTGAGGCTAGCTTTGAACTTGTGATCCCTCCTGCCTCAGCCTCCTGAACCACTAGGATTACAGGCATACACCACCAAGCCCAGATATGTGTTTGCTTTCTAAAAATTTTCTATTTTGAAACAATTATAGATTAACTTGCAATCATAAGAAAAAAATACAAAGAGATCCCATGTACTATTTACCTTGTTGCTCTCAATAATAACATCTTGCAGAACGATAGGACAATGTTGAAAGCAGAATATTAACATTTACACAAACCAGCCACCTACTTCAAAGTTCTTCTATTGTTTTCCATTGCATTTATATGTTGTGTGTGTGTGTGTGTGTGTGTGTGTGTGTGTGTGTGTGTGTCTGGATCTATGCAATTTTATCCAAAGGTAGATTTGCATATGCACCATCATAGTCAAGGTGAAGAACAGCTCCATCACTACAAGCATCCTTCATGTTGCCTTTTGATAACCCACTTTGTTCCTCCTCTCATCCCAGCTTAATCTTGCTGTTTCTAGGGTGTTACATAAACATAATTAAGCAACATTATGACAGGCTGAATAATGGCCCAATAAAGATGTCCACATCCTAATCTCTGAATATATAATCTCTATGCAAAAGATACCTTGCAGATGTGACTGAGGATCTTGAGAGGAAGAGGGTATCCTGAATTATCCAAGTGGATCCAAAAAAAATCACAAATGTCCTGATAAGAAGGAAACAAGAAAGTCAGGGATGTACCAATAGTAGACATGGCGATAGAAGTACAATTTGAAGGGATACTAGGAAGGGGCCATAAGCCAAGGAATGTAAACATACTCCAGAAGCAAGGAAGGGGTTTTCTCCTAGAACTCCCAGAAGGAATCAGCCCTGTCAACACTTTTTAGAAGTTCAGTGACTGATTTTGGGTTCCTGACTTCCAGAACTATAAAGTAATAAATTTGTATTATTCAAGCTCCTAAGTTTGTAGTAATTTATTATAGAAGCCAAAGGAAACCAATATTACATTATGTAACCTTTTAGGATACTGGCTTTTTTCCCTCAGGATAATTCCTTCGAGATTTATCCAAGTTGTGTGAATCAATAAAGCATTTCTGTTTTTTGCTAAATGGAATTTCATGGTAAGGATGTACCACAAAAGGTTTGACCATTTGCCTACTGAGAACATCTAGGTTGTTCTCACATGTGGATTATTAGGACAAAAGCTACTCTAAACATTCATATACAGGTTTTGGTACAAACATAAATGTTCATTTCTCTGGGATAATGCCAAGGACTGCAATTAATGGGTCTTACAGAAATTAAATGTTTCATTTTATAAAAAATTGCCAAACTATTTTCTAGAGTAGTTACATATTTTTTCTAAAAATAAATGATTAATACAATATCTCATCTGTCATTTGATATTGTCAGTTATTTTTTTAGACATTCTCATTGAAATGCAGTGATATCTCATTTAAATTTTCATTTTCATTTCCATAATAACTAATGATACCAAGCATCTTTTCATATGTGTATTTGACTGTAAATCCTCATTGGTGAAATGACTGTTTATATCTTTTCTCTATTGTGTATTTAGATTATTTGGGTCTTTAAGTTTTGAGTATTTTGTACTCTTTATATACTATTCTATTTTTCAAATTTGTGGTTTGAAAAACTTTTTCTTAGTGTGTAGTTTGTATGTTCATCCTGTTAACAAGAGTCTTTTTCAGAGCAACTTTGTTGGTGGTAG